CTTGGAGTGGTGGCCTACGGAGTGGTGGCTTGGACCCGAAAAGAGGGGTGCCAACCGTGACCAACGAGGACGTTGGCTCTTCAAAGCGTGGGGTATTGTTATGATCTCACATCGGCCGAAAGTACTATAAGTTGGTGACTTATAAGTCTAGGTGTCCCCTCCTCCTACAAACTGGCTTTTAACTATATTCATGCTTCATGAAAAAAAATGAAGCAATCCGCTTCGCACCTTTATCCCTTTGAGCGATAGCGAAGCCTAGAGAGGCGCAGGGCAGGATCCAAGAGCTTAGAAAGGGTCAGGAAGGGCAGAGCAAAGCCTTGCAGTAGGAAGGTGTTCGTTGCTGGGACGGGTTCAAACTGGACTGAAGCGCTCTCCTTTGTTAGCGAGAATGCCCTATGCAGATGAGGAATTGCACAACCCTTTCTTCGATGAGTCTCCTTGCTTAAAACTTCCTTCTCTTGAAAAAAATTTGGGAGTGAGTTCTACACTTGGGCTTATGGTGTGATGCGGACCTAGTATGGGATGGGTCCGTATCAGGGTCCTTAAATTATTGGCATAAAATTTTTTGTTGAGGAGAACTTGCGTCTCCAATTGTCTATTCCAGAACCTAAATCCACATACGGTAGAGCAGAAGTAAGAGCATTTAATTCCATAATCTCCGTGGGATTGTTAGGAGTTTTATTTTCCAAACCCAAGTGAAATTTCAAATAGAAGATGAAGCATGATTTTTTTTCATCTCAAAACTAAAAATGTTCGTGAAGCGCTCAACTCTTAACAATGTTATTTGCATAATATTATTATGAAAGTGACAAATATGCACTTATTTAATTATATATATTTTGCCATGTTATTTTAAATATATATTTATAATAAATGGTTTTCTAGAAAAATAAAAAATCGAGTCCAGTTTCGATAGTGCTTCCTTTGACCTTCATATCAATTTCCTCACTGCTTTGACCTTTCCAATTTCTTCTTATGATTTCGTTTCTGATTTTCTCCATAGCTATCCTCTCACTCTTTTTCTTTTGACGTTTTTACCCTTACACATCCAAACAAACAAACAAACACACAAAATCAACACGCATTTCCACATTATAAAATACACACACACCTTCTTCCCTTCTCTTCCAAACCCAATCTTAAACAAACATGGCGAAACAACAAGAACTAACAGCCTTGAATGCGCCCTACACCACCACGCCGATTATCATGGAGCATGATCAAGAAGGCAAAGACATCTCCGGCAACACCTACTACGACGAAGATGCAGCTTCCACCGGCTGTTTTCGACTCTTTTGCTGCTTCGACAGCCAACACCACCGCCACGACGGAGACACGGCAGGGTTCCTATACCAACCTACCGGAGATCTAATCGACCAAGACAACTGGTTCATGAAAAGAGCTAAAAGCGTGAAGGAATATTCCGAGCTTGTCGCCGGACCTAAGTGGAAAAACTTCATCAGAAGGTTTAGTAAGAGGCCGAAGACGAGATCCAACGCGAACACGCCATTTCAGTATGATCCTCAAAGCTATGCTCTTAATTTCAACGACGGATACGGTGGTGATCATGAAGATGATGATTTGTTGCCTCGTAGTTTCTCTACACGATTCGCTCCTCCTTCAAGATCTACACAAATCTAGATTCTTCTGTCGATATCGATATTGATTCGATCTATTTTTCTCCCCCTTTTTCATCAATTTCATGGATATCATATTCATAAATACACATTCTTATATTTTTTTTGGTGAATTGGTAATTTTTAAGATTTTGATATGTAAATGAATTCATTATAGTTGCCAATTTTAGTGCTAAAAGAGTTTAAATCAAATCAATTTCATTGAATTCAAAATTGGCAGGGGTGAAGTGTTGACGTTAGAAATTAGTGGGGAGCAAGTGGGGGGTAAAAATGGCAAGTTGTATTATTTCTTTGGAAAGTTTTAATTAAAGATTTTTATTTTTTATGAGACAGATAGATCCAAATATTCGAATATTTGTTACCAGATGGATTGCATCTTATTGGTAGACATAAATGTCATTGTAGTGGTTTTTTTAAAACTTTTTTAAGCATAAAATACAGGAGTTATTTTAAAAAAAAAAAAAAACAAAAATCAAAATTTATGGGTTTCCTGAAAATGAAATTTGTTATTGAGGTATAACCTCATTAATAATAATAATAAAAAAAAAACATTGAATCCATCTTTTATGAAAATTGACTTATTAACAAAAAAAAGTTTTCTTCAAGTGTTATTTTTTTTAAACTATAATAAAGTTCTTATATATTGGCATCATTTCTTTATATATTTTTTTATTCAATAAAGTCCTAAAAACCGGTAATCCAATTCAATTTAATCATTTTACCCGGTCAACAGGTCATCCAACTTTCAAAAATTATATTTTTGGCCCAAATTTCAATATATATTATAAATTTGATCCAAAATTTATATTTTTGACCCATATTTTAATTTTTAATATAAATTTGGTCCAAAATTTCCCTTTATGTTTAACAGAACAATTTTATTATATTTTTTTTTGTTGAATTCAAAAAGTCCAAATAAAACATAGAGTATCTTACTGGGTTTCTCAGCAAACTTCTTTTTTACGTAAAATCCATCGAAAACTCATTTACTTTCGAAAAAACTACTAAAAATCATTTTTTCTAAAAAAAATACTAAAATTTGATGGGTGTTTTTTACGGTTTAAAATCTAAATTGTGAAAAATTATGTATTTTTTTTTTTACATTTTCTGTTAAAAAGATAGGTTGCTTTATATAAAAAAAAGATATCAAAATTTATGAACGTTTATGACAACAACTAATACTCTTAATTATAAATAAATAGGTATTTGTTAGGAAGAGGATAAATCATAGACCACTAGGCACTAGCAATATAAATTTATCAATTTATATTTTTATATGCATTTGGTTATAATAACACTAAAATGCACATTTTTTTTTCAAAATTGGCGGTATAGATATAATTTTGGAATAATCCACTACTAGAATTAATGAAATTTTTACCAAAAAAACGTAGGAGGTAAGAATTTTTTATATGAGCAAGGTTGAAATATGAAGTAATTATTTTGTTTTATTTTTGTATTAGTTACGTATTCTTTTTTTTTTTTTTTTTTTGTAACAACAGAAATTTTATCAAATGGTTAATAACTTGTTATTTTGTTTTGTTAGTCGCTAATATTTTTTTTTATTTCTATTTAGTCAATAATCTTACACATCAAATCATTAATCTTTTTGTTTTATACATATTTTATCAGTAATCTCATGATATATATATATATATATATATATATATATATATATATATATATATATATATATAATATATATATATATATATATATATATATATATATATATATATATGGGGTTGAGATCGGTTGAGACTCAAAGTTTCCCGACACCCGATAACTAAAAATGGAGCGTTGGATCAAAACTAATTCGTTAAGAACATGATCGTCATCTTACCAATCTTATTTAATGTTTAATTTTTTTGTGTTATTTAATATATTAATATAAATGTATAAAAATTAACAAAATAACACAAAATTTCGGATTTTTTTTTTTTAAAAAAAAATTTGATTTTTTAAAAAAATGGAGATTTTTTAATTTTTTTCAAAAAACATGAATTTTTCAAAAAAAATGAAAAAAATATTTGTTAAAAAACTGCATTTTTTTTTTCAAAAAAAACTGCATTTTTTTAAAAAAATAAATAAATTTTTTCTAGAAAAAAACTGTATTTTTTTTTCAAAAAAACTGCATTTTTTTCAAAAAGAAAAAAAAAACTGCAATTTTTATAAAAAAAAGTGCAATTTTTTTCAAAACTACATTTTTTTAACAAAAAAATCAACGTTTTAGGTGCATATATGCATATTTTTTCAAATGCATATATGCATATTTCTTATAGTATAATATTCGTAAGTAAATTATAAAAAATCTCATTTTTATTAATCAATCTATAAACATAATACAAGTATTTTATTCGATACAAAATAAAATATAAAAAAACTACAAAGATTCACAGTGTTATTATTTATTCATATCAAGATTTCCATATTTTCTTCAATTTATCACTTTTCACCTCTTCAATATTTTCTAAAAATTCTTCAAAATCTACAAGGAAATAAAAAAAATTGATTATTGCAAGAACACGCACATGTATATATCATGTAAGATTCACATGTGATTATATAATGTGATATTCACATGTGATTGTATCTTTTAAGATTTAAATGTGAAATTCACAAGAAAACTTTAAAAAATAATTAACCGAAGAACACTTACACAAAATGCATGTGTGCATATAGACGTAATTCATATGTGATTCACTTGTGATTTACATGTGAATCACATGTAATCACATGTAATTGATATGTGATTCACTTGTGATTTACATGTGAATTACATGTGATTAATATGTGAATTACATGTGATTTACATGTGAATCACATATAATTCATATGTGATTAACTTGTGAATCACATGTAATTCATAGGTAATTCACTTGTAATTTACATGTGAATCACAAATTAATTATATGTGAATTACATGTGAATCACATGTAATTCATATGTGATTCACTTCTGATTTACACGTGAATCACATGTAATTCATATTTACATGTGAATCACAAGTGAATCATATGTGAATTACATGTGATTAAAATGTGAATCACATGTGAATCATATGTGAATTACATGTTATTTACATGTGAATCACATGTAATTCATATGTGATTCACTTGTGATTTACATGTGAATCATATGTAAATTACATGTGAATCACATGTAATTCATATGTAAAGTTCGCAACCAAAATACTTCAATAAAATTATATTTTCAATTATATATTATACTAATGGATTAGTTTATTGGTCACCGAATCAGAAATCAATGATGGAACAGAAAATATCCCAAAGATTAATTAAAGTATACCTCTTTCCTCAATGTAAAATGACCAAAATCCAAACGAAAATGACTGTTATACTTTTATGAGACATTTAATCTTATATGAATTCTAATTTTTGGAGCATCAAGGTCAATATCAAGAGTAAATCTGCAAATGCAAGAAGAAATACAGGAAATTAACAAACATTGCATCAGGACTAACAGAATATCCTGTTTTCTCTTTAAGGAATGACACAACCTTGATTTTGTTGCTCCTTTTTGCAGCTTTCCACTCACTTTGTAGATCCTCATTATCTGCAAACTGCAGAAAAAAATATTTAAAAAAAAATGTCAATAGTTCTGGATCACAGACTTTGTCTTTATCCAAACAGACATCATTTATTCATAACCACACTTAAAAGTTAAAACATCACATCAAAAAATATCATATTATTCTAAAAATAAAACTAACATATATATATATATATATATATATATATATATATATATATATATATATATATATATATATATTGTACTGTTTTAAAATATAACATTTACAATGTGTAATTAGTCATTTCTTAATTCTAAAATCAAGACTTGAAACATCATAATTAATAGTGGACTCGTTTTAAAGCTCCTGATAAAAAATTTATAATGATATGAATTGTGATGAATATATAGAAAAAAGGAAAGATAAAATTAAATTTATTATTTATTACCTTACGCAATTCTGCTAATTTTTCAGTGTTGAGTACCCAATCTTCTCCACCAGTCCACTTGGTTATGATTTTACTGAGGGCAGGATTGCAGTAATATATCCATCTTCTTGGTGTCACTCCATTTGTTTTGTTTTGAAATTTCTCAGGTTAATTATGTAAAAGGTCAATATAAAGTAAATTACTCTATAATATACTTAAATTTTGATTTTTTAATAACTTACCTACCAAGTGAATCTTGAACAGTATGTGCAACAAATGCAAGGTTTAGATTTGCAGAGCCTTCAACGATATCTTTAGGAGCCAAGTATCTTTTGCAATCCATTTTTTCTGCATGCTCGAGTACCAAATTTGCCCTTTCAGTCGGATCCTTGGTATCCAATGTGCCTGGGCTGCAATGTTCTGGTGCAAGAACATTAAGCAGGTAAGCATAAGCTTCTCCATCCTACACACATCATGTACCAAATCACACTGTTGTTAATAAACATGAAAAAAACACAAATGAAAAACGAAGATTTATCTTGAGATCAGATGAGAAATTTGTTACAGGTTTCTTGTATCCTGCTTTCTTATAGGATTCAAATTTCAGTGAATAACCTGGTCCAATCAATGTCAACATCAAACTAAACCGGTCTGTGGTTTCTAGCGGGGAGATCGGAAAGCAATTTAGTGAGAAAATCAGCTCGACTCCGGTGATAATCAGTCCACACACACAAATGCTTGATTGCTTCCATTTTCACCTCTTTGAGAACAATTATAGTTTCATGATTCGATTAGGGAGGAAGAGAATGAAAATGTTGTGGTTAGGGGTGATTACCTGATGAACCAGTGGAAGGATTTGGCGGAGCAGGCGAATGATGATCCGATTCACGACTAGAAACACAAAGAACCTAAAAAGAATCTAAAGCTAGGGACATATCTAGAAATTAGATTTAAACACGATCTCATCTATCACCACAAAAACACCGATGAACATAATTAGAACTCCAGCTACAGTGAACAAGCTCTGAATAGATCTAGAATCAGAATGATGGATGTGAGAAAGGAAATCGATTGAGAAAGCTCTGAATAGATTTACGTCTAGAATCAAAGAGAAGAAGGTGAAGAGATTTACGAATGTTATTAGTTGTATGGCTCGGTAACTTCACTGTTTTTGTTTTCTGAAAGGGGTTGCTCCGAGGAGGTTTGGGCCTCCATGTTCGTGGTTAAATCATGGAGGAAATAGACAGAAATCAACGAGGTGTGATCGTTGTGGAGACCGATGTTGATCTGGAAGGCAGAGGGCACCGATATGGAAGGCGGAAGGATCTGATCTAGAAGCAATCGTCGATGAAGCTCTGAAAGAAAGAGAGTCGTTGGGTGAGACAATCGATGGATTTGGGAGAAAAAGAATCGATCGGATTTTGGGGGAATGATCTAATTTCCAAATTTTTTTTTCATACTGATAATACCCTTATGATTATGTTTACAGAAACCTAATATGCCACTAAAGATAGTCATATTTACAAAATATGTCATTGATCATCTAAGCCATCCAAATAATTGATCCAACGCTCCACTTTTAGTTCTCGGGAGACTATGAGTTCTAAAATGATCCTTGGTCTCTCTCTCTCTCTCTCTCTCTCTCTCTATATATAATATATATATATATATATATATATATATATATATATATATATATATATATATATATATATATATATATATATATATATATAGGGTTCGGAATGTATAAGTTGTGTCAATTTGTAACGCGTTGAGTTCGCATGTTTTGTATTGTCTATGTCTTTACTTTGTGTGAATTGATTTATTCCGAATTCGCACATTATGTATTCTTAGGTTCGCAGTTTATCTATCTGACTTAGGATACCTTTTTGGTGTTCCTCTGAAGCCTATATAAAGGAACATTAGTTACTGGAATGGGTTAGAGTTTTTGACAGAATAAAATTCTTTCCTGTATCGAATTGTTCTTCTAGCTCATTAATGAAAGTGAAATCTTATTTACCTTGTGTTTTCTTGTGAATCTCTTTATCATTTCAAACGTGAATCTAAACATTCCTTCAATTCGTATCAGAGCGAGAGATCAATTGAACCTTTTTGAATCCCAATTTAGTCGAAGTTCATCTTGTTCATCGTGTTTTTCCAGATTTGTTCATCGAATTCTAGATCTATTCCGCATTTTGAAAATTTCTTTGCAAATTGATCTTTAATTCCTTGTTTGATTCTTTCGATTTGATTCTAAAGCTCAATTTCAAGTTCATTGACTTGATTCAAAATGTCAAAGAAGATTCACATTCAATTACTTTCAACCTACCAAGCAGTATCAGTTCTATAACGAGAATTCCTATTCTATTTCCTGAAGACTATGAAGTTTGGGTTCTTCATTTTGAAGATTACGTTCTAGGTATTGAAACTCGTGGATCTAGCATTTGGCATGCAATCACAAAAGAAACATTCAAATATTCCAAGACGAAGACTAAAGTCAGAAATCAAGCATATTATGATACCATTGTTGCTGATGACACTCAAATTACTTCTGATGAGAAAGAAAAATTAATGTGCAATCTGAAAGCGTTAAGAATCATAACGTTTGCTCTTCCTCCAGATACTTTTCATTTGGTCAATTCATATCAGATTGCAAAAGAAATATGGGTCAAATTGAAGGAATTATATTCTGGAGATGTTGATCTCACTCATTCTTTGCAAACGTCACTTTTGTCTGAATTTGAATCTTTTGAGCAAAAGTCCGATGAAACTCTTGAACAAACAATCAATCGATTTAATCATCTTTTAAGTCGTATGCTTAAACACCATTTGAAAAGAGAAGTTATTGAACAAAAGGTGAGGTTCATGAATAGTTTAAGATTGGAATGGAAGTCAATCGTTTCAACTGTTAAAGCTCACAAACAATTCAATAATTATTCTCTTGCATAAATGGTTGGTATTCTGAAGTCTCATGAAGATGAAGTGATGAAGGAAGCAAAATTGATTATAAGTGTTGGTTTATTGGCATTGGTTACAAAAGTGAAAGCTCAAAGCAAAAGAAGACAAAAATTATGGTTGAAGCCAAGTGTGGGAGAACACATGCAGGAGGCTGTCAGGAGAGAGGGATGAGATGTTTAAGTTGCGGACAGATGGGTCATTTCAGTAGAGATTGCCCTCGAGAATCGATTTCGATATGTTTTCACTGTAACCAAGTGGGCCACAAGAAGGCCGATTGTCTGGAGTTGAGGAGAGGAGCAGTGAGGACACCTACTCCAGCCACTCTAAGGATTAGGGATGGTCGCAAGGACAGGGTGGAGATTCCTGTGGTGAGAAGTCGAACATTGCAATCCTAGGCCAAGGGGACACGAGTTCCCTCAGTTGATCTCGCATGTATGTGCTATATTTACTTCCTTCATGCTCTTATTAATAGTACTTAGGATTATATGTTTGTGTGTTAGACGCTATGTGTGGCCAATCTAAGTCTCCACTTATAAATTTTAGTTTTCTTCATGATGGTCTAGACATTTTATCTTGAGAATCTTCATATACCAATTTGCATGCCAATAGCCGTGTTTAGGAGATGTTTGGGTTAACTAGATTTAGATTGCGATGTGGGAGGTAGTGGTTATCATCGAAACAAGCATGGAGCGAGAAAGGATCAGCAGACGATTCAATCCTTGGTAGTTTCAGCAAGGTGGACATGTCGGGTTCGGATGTAGGGCAGGTAGGAGTTCCTCATGGTTTCAAAGCAATAATGAATGGGTTGATCATGGGTGTGAGATCATTAGTTACCAAGTTTATACCTTCATATCGTGGTCAGTAGCAGGTTCGCATTAGAATTGTTCTAAATGCTTAGGATCTTGGGATTCGTTGAGGTATTGGGAATAATCACCCGGTCTTGGAATGTATAAGCGTTGGGCATGGATTGTCAAGGAAAGCTAGCCATTGTAAAGCTCAAGTTGTCGACTGTTGCTATCAGTAGGAGATGAGCAGTGGTAACATATCACTCTTAAGTAATGGGAAGGTGTTGTTCGCATGGGTGGTCGCAGCCTTTGGGATTGACAGCAGAAATCAAATGGTATCTATTGGTGAACCTTGAGTACATCTATTCTTCGGCAAGTGGATAGTTGGATTGGTGACCTGTCTGTTCTGGTCAAAGGTTATAGTCCTTTGCCGTAAGCTGAAGTGGCTTAAGGATTTGGAGATGTATCATGGGAAGTACTTGGGGCTATCGTGCTTGTTGAGATTCGAGAAGTGTACATCGGGTTTGGGATGTGTATGATCACTAAGGTGTTGTTTGTTTTTCTAAAACCAAAATGTCTGCAGTCTGCGGACCATATTTGCAACCCTCTGCAGCAGAAGAGGTGGACCAAACGTCTGCAGCCTGCAAACAAAAGTCTGTTTGTTTTTTAATGTCTGCAGGCTGCTGAAATAAATTGAATTTCGGAAGAAAAAAAACAATACACAATGATTATTTTCAGCAATAAGGAGTATTTTTAGCAAAAAAAAAAAACAGCACATAATGACTTGTTCCAGCACAATTTTCATATTTTCAGCACTCTATACATATTTTCAGCATTATTTTCATATTTTTATCAAGAAAAAGCTTGATTTCACCAATGTTATGGAATTTACAGCAAAATACATCAAGGAATATTGATTTTCAACAACATTTAAGAAGAATTTTAAGCATGAAAAGCTATTTTCAACAATATTTTCGAATTTCCAACATCCAAAAACAACTTTAAGAAACAAAAAGCAATTTTAGCAAAATTAAACATCATGTTTCAGTACATTAAAGAGTTTTCCAGCAAGAATAAACATCAATTTCATGTTATAGTTGAAAAAAGGAAACATGAGGTGCATACTTGTTTGGAGATGAGGGCGTCGAAGACCGGTGATGAGGTCGTTTGTCATCTGAGAGGAGGGTGACAGTTCTGATCGAAGATGAAGAACGAATAAGAACAGTGGTGGAGGGAGGCAGGGAGGCTTCGAGGGTGGGAGACATTGAGGCTGGAGTTATCGGAAAAATGGAGGCGTGAAAGAGAAAAGAAAAGAAAAAATTGTGTTTTATTAGGTAAAAAGCACTTCTGCAGACCTTAGAAGAGGTTTGTCCATGTCTGTGTGGTGAAGACCTCGCGCAGACGTTGTTAGATCTGCGCACTATTAAAAAAACAAACACACTGCGAGGACATATGTATGCGCATGGTCTGCGAGGCGCGGACAAAAGTGATTGCGCAGATCTGCAGCCAAAAAACAAACAACCCCTAAGATTGGTTAGTAATGGAATGTTTGTTCTGGTGAGCTCAGGTTGTTGGCAGTTTGAATTGTAAGGTTGTGAGATGGATTGGGAATTCATAAGTTGTTGTGGTTTGGGAGAGAGTGCAGTCAAGTCCAAGTGTAACGCCCCATTCCTGGTATGTAATTTAAAATTTGAATTTCCTTTCTTAGGGTTACTCGGCGAGTCAGTAGCCCCGACGCATCGAGTAGAAGCGGGAATACACGTGGACTTAGTTGGGCGACTCGACGAGTCCATTCCCGACTCGGCAAGTCTGCCAGTCTGGATGAAACCCTAATTCTTAGGGTTTGTACCTTATTTAAACGTCCTTATAGCCCCAAACCAGCCTCCTTCACCTCTCAGAGACTTATTCCCGAAACCCTAGCCTCCTAGAAGTGTGTGTGAGTGATTTTTGCCCTTGTGAAGGAATCTTGGTGCATTGTTGAGCAAGAAGAAGAAGGAGAAGGTAGAAGAACTCAAGGAAGAAGAAGTAGATCCAAATTATACTCCTCTTTGGCCATCCTTTCTGGTAATAAAGCTTTCATCTTGGTTATTGTATTGCTAGATCTAGTTTGTCCCCAAATTGATGGTTTTGAGCTCAAAAACCCCAAATCCCTAGTGATGAAGCCTTGTAATCAAGTCATATCTCGAATCTAGCCTCTCTTGAGTTCCAGGAGCTCAAGAAGGCCACCTTTTGGCAGCCATGGCCTTGTTCTAGACAAGTAACCCCCCATTATAGCCAAGTTTGAGTGTTATTGCTTCATTTCATCATAGATACACGTAAAGTTAGCAACTTTACATATTCAAATTGTCCCAGAAGCCCAGATCTATGAATTGGATGCACTAAAACTGATTAGCATCGACTGAATAGAAACTGCATGCAAAGGACTCGGCGAGTCCGGTCGCGAGTCTTAGATTCCCTGTTCAGTTGTAGCGAGTCCGTTAGTGAGTGGAGTAAAGACTCGGTGAGTTAAGACATGGATCTGAGTGTAGAGGGACTCGGTGAGTCTACGCCCTGACTCGGCGAGTCCAAGGCAATCTCCTTACCTGTAAGAACAGACTCGACGAGTTGTTCATACAACTCGGCGAGTCACAGACTGGACGTGTTCATATGATGAAGGAGGACTCGACGAGTTGTTCATACAACTTGGCGAGTCAGGTAAAGGTTGACTTGATGTTATTATAGAATGAGAACTCGTCGAGTCTTCGCTAAACTCGACGAGTAGAGTCGGGAAGGGGAGTAGAAGGAAAGATAGGGACTCGACGAGTTGGCGGCCCAACTCGGCGAGTCAGGTCAACGGATTGTTGACTTTGACCAGGGGGTAAAATAGTCATTTTACCCTAAGATTAGTTATCAGTGTCTGATTAAGTGTCTTTTGGGAATTGTAGCCGGGGAGTTACCGGAGCAGCAGTCAATCAGTTCCCGAGCAGCATTTCAGCAGCCAGCCTTAGGAGGTGAGTTTCCTTCCAGTAGGAACGGGTCTACGACCACAGTGTCGGCCTGTTTAGTTAGCAGTAGTTCCGGACTACAGTCCGATGCAGTAGTTCAGTATGCTTGGTGTCTTTGTGATACAGGCATGGTATGTGTTATGTGTTCCGGACTATGGTCCGATGCAGTATGCAGTATAAGTGTTCATATTATATGCAATGATTATGTTATGCTATGTTCAGTCAGTTCCGGACTTCGGTCCGATGCAGTTCCGGACTTCGGTCCAATGCAGTGGGCAAGGCCCTGGTAGTTCCGGACTTTGGTCTGATGCAGTGGGCAAGGCCCTAGTCAGTTCCGGAGTTCGGTCCGATGCAGTGGGCGAGGCCCAGTATGTGCTTTATATGTTATTGGATGGTATGTGGTAGTTTGGGGGAGCTCACTAAGCTTCGTGCTTACAGTTTCAGTTTTGGTTTCAGGTACTTCAGCTAGCAAAGGGAAGGTCTCGGGATGATGGCATGGCACACACCACAGTTTTAGCCTGGGAGTTAGACTCTGATATTTTTTATATGATCTTGACACTAGTTTTGATTTGATAAATTTATTATGACATTTTGTGATACATGATTCATGGTTTTATCTTTTAATATTTGATATTATGGTTTAGTAAAGTTTTCAAACAAAAATTTTTGGGTTGTATTTTTGGGATGTTACACCAAGTAGGGAGAGTCGTTGGTCTAAGGTATTACACAAGGAAGGATATTCGTGTTTCATTTCACTTCAGTGGTGACGCATAGCGGGTATGTGGATGGATCCAGGTCGAGGGTGGTGTTAGAGCCTCTCTGCTTGTTCCTGTTCGATTAAGGCTTCGGGGTTCGAAGCATGTCCTTCACACCTGGTTGGGATAAAGTCAGATGCATGTTCGACTCAAGATGACTTTGGTTGGAATGGTAGATGTGTGGTAAGACCATGGGCGGTGACCATGGCAGAATAGGAGTGTTGTAAGATTGTGGGATGACTTGTAGCGTGCGCCTGGTTCTTGAGAAGCTTTGAGAGCAGGGTAAACCTATGGGTTGGGCTTGTAGCTCCTCTAGGTAGGGATTAGTTTATAACAGGGCAGGTTGTGAGACTATGCGAAGGCCACAATATTCTGGGAACTAAGGAAGTTGTGTGCTGTGTGAGGCCAGTGGTGACATAAGACTACAACTGGGTTTGTAGCATTCGATTATAGAAAGGTAAATATTATTGCATTGATGTAATGGTTGGTCATATTATCCATTAGTTGGATTTGAAGAGCTGTTGGAGCCAGTACGACAAGCAAGCTAGGGCATCTCTTGCCAAGATAGACCCTCGTTCAAGAGTCGTGTGGTGCGACTGTGTGAGTCTATCCGCCTCAGCAACCAGTTGGAAATTTGGTGTATCATTTAATTGGTTGGTAAGTATGAGACCAGGGAGGTCTCGGCTGCATCAGAAATGTAACTATGGGTCAACAAGATGAGCCTGAGGTGGTACTAGTGTTTGGGACTCGTGTTTGGAGTCGCCTTGTTATTAAGTGGATATGTTAAGTCACTTGTTGTATGGGTTAAATAATCTCAGAGTAACTGATTTGACCCTACTGTGCAACTCTCGTTTGAGTCTAACCGTTGTAAGGATGAGTCTTTCACTCGAAGGATTATCTAAGCCTTCTATCAAGTGGGAAGTTTTCTGCAGCAGTGGATGGTCAGTGCTTATGTTCCAAGTGGAACAACAAGTTAACCAAGGGTTGGGGTGTTATGGTCAATTTGGAATACGGAGTGGAGTTTTACTGACAGTGTTCAGAGTGGGCTGTCTATCAGGGAGTTAGACAGGGTTTTAGGATTTCAGATTTCGGGCTTTGGGCAAGGTAGTGATGGTTATTCTTCAATGGTTAACGCCAAAAGGTCAAGTATTGGTACGTCGTCAGGGCATGAGAACCCTATTAAGGCTGGGTTCATTTATGGCCATGGAAGTGTGTTATGGGTATGGGTCAACTTCTCATCTCGTATCATGGTTGTGGGTTTATCGTCTAGGTTATCGGGCATATCTGAAGGGTAGTAAGGAGTGATTTCGAGGACAAAATCTAATTTAAGTGGGGGAGAGTTGTAACACCATGTTTCGGGTCATTCCATAATTCAGGACCGTGACCCGAGAATCAAGTATTGTGAGGCTTTGGGCCTTGGGAAAGAGAGGTTTAGACCCATTTGGTGATGGATAATGTAGGTTGTGGGGACCGAGTGTTCGGTTTGCATTGGAGCCCAATGGCATAGCCGTAAGCATTAGTTTGGGCCTTTATGAAGTTTGGGTTTAAGTTCAGAATGTTTTAAGGCAAAGGAGAGTTGATAGATGTGTAGAGCTTCTCGTTACCTTCCCGTGGATATAAAGAACGATGAATTCAGATTTAGAATGAAGAAGTTATGGCCTTTAGAAGATTGGCGCTTCTTGACCCTAGCCGAGTACGTTGGGCGTACGCTAGGAGTACGCCGGGCGTACAGGCTCAACATCCGGATCACGGAGGCTTCAGTGTACGCTAGGTGTACACATGGTTACGTTGGGCGTAATCAAGCCAGAGGAAAACCCTAATTGTTAGGTTTTGCACCCTATTTAAAGACCTTAAGTCGCTCAAGTCCTTTAAGCCTCCACTGCCCTTTTTGTGTCAATCTAGAACCCTAGCCTTCTTGAGTGCATCTTTGAGCTTACCTTGGGTATTTTGTGTTCTTTGGTGATTTTGAAGAAGAAAGAGCTTTGGGAGGAAACAAAGGAGAAGAATGAGCTTGTAGATCCAGAGGTTATGCACCATTTCTAGCCTATTGAAGGTATAAAATTTGAATCTTGATCATTACAAGCTTAGATCTACGTTTAGGGTAGAATATGGCATCTTTTGGTCCCATAGCTTGGTTTCTTGGATTATGAGCAACTCCAGGCCAATTGAGCTGTCCTTTTGGACTCTTGGAAGTGTGTTGAGTCTTAAAATCGGATCTTGGTGGTTAAGACTCAATCATGTAAGTGTTAGTAACCATCCAAGTGAGTTAATGGACTTAATTAATGGTTTGAGCCCTATCCTGAAGGGTTTTGAGCACTATAACAATCCTATGGTGCACATACAACCCTTGATGCTTTGGATCTAAGTTTTCTCAAGTTATACATGCAATTTCATTTCATCCAAAGCATACACCCTAGCTAGCATGCAATTGGAGATATAAAACATAAAAACTAGTTAGATGAATACCTCTTTGTTGTAGCTTGTAGAACCTTGCCTTTCAAGAGCTAAGCACCTCAAATGTGATGC